GAAATGAGTCCAATATTGAATAGTTTTTCACTTAATTATATTATTATATATTATATATACTGTGAAAAAATATTTTTAATATTTACGATTTATACTTTTATAGTTATTTATTTATATATATRCTATATATTTTGGGRYTAGGYTGTCCAAATTGCACTGTATAATATGTTTTGAATTAATATGTTCTTGGGTTTTTTGAAATATATATATACATGTATTATTTAAACCTTAATATGAGTTTATGAACAAGAAAAAGGGTAAGCAGTTGAAATTTCATTCTAAACCCCATCTTTTTTTGTTTTTTCATGGCTTATGATCTGTCAAATTTGTAGTTTTCTTTATTGGTTTTGAGYGTTTATCTTAAAACTCAAGTTTCTTGGTTCTTTGCTCTTGGTGTAAAACGAATACATTTGTGGAGTCGTTTAAATATGTTGGATTTTAAATATATTGGATTTTAAACCGTTATACAATTTTTTTCATCGATAGTCTATAATTGGAATCATAACTCTTATTTATTCAAATTGTATTAATATGTAAAGACCAAGTGTAACATATATTATCGTTAAATCTTATCTTATAAAACAAGTGGAACTTCAAAATCGTTAAAATTCATGGCTCCCACCGCATTGCGCGGGTACACAACTAGTATATATATATATATATAAAATAAAATAATTACAAAATATTTATGATTTTTTTAATTAACCTGAATATCCAACCTGCTATGCGAGTCGACTAATTCCAGAGCGACCATCTGCTTTAAGGGTAGTCCAAAGTCATCATTTGAAACTCGCTCACAAAAGAATTTTTATTCCTCCTTAGATTTTGATGTTAATGCACATTGTAACTTTTATAAGTTTTTGTACATATGATTTGGTGTATAAATGCATCTCCAACAGATTATTTAAATATAGAAAATTAAAATTTTGGGACTTTTTGATCCAATTCCTTAAAATTTAATTTTAAATGTAGGAGATAATGTTAAATTGTCAAAATTTAGAGAAGTTTTAAAAAATAAATATCAATACTTTTTTATTATATTTTTACTGATAAGAAAATTAAAAAGTAAATGTTTAGAAAAAATAATTAATATTTTTATTATCTGCATAAAATATTTTAAGCAGATACAAAATAGAAAAGATTTTGGAGTCAAATATAAATTTTTTTAGCTCGTCTTAAACTCAACCACTAAAAATGGTAGTTATTAGAACATCTAAAATCCATTTAATAACATTAAACTGTTTATAAGTGATTAATATGTATAAGTATATCAAATAAATATGTAAACTAAAACTATGTTTATAATCATTTTTTGGTAAATACTAGCTTATAAACATGTAAAATAACTAAAAATAACATCTTGAAAATATAATATGTTAACTGATATAAAAAAGATGATAGAAAATAAATAAATTATATAATATGTTACTAAAATAATTTTAAATTGATTATTATATTATAAATTTTGAATTTATTAAATAAATTTTAGAAAAAATATATTAATTTATWATTTTAAATAACCATTAGATATAATATAAATAATAACTAAATTGATTTAAAAAAAATTAAGATCATGGTTATAACAAGTAATGAGCACGAGGGACAAAACAGAGGGTGTTCTGGGTAATAATTGGAAGTGTGGGGCGTCATTTGGACAATTTCTGACTTTGTGGGCACACTTTATAAAAAGCTGATTGATTTGCACCAAAAGTCCAGAAACTGTAAAAAGGTAATGACGTGTCATCCACTCACGTGCAGCTCACGTCCAAAACAACTTTTCTCAATAATCCTTCACTTTCTTGTCCCATTGACAGCATAAAGGTACAACCTTTGAGAATTAGATCGAAATGCCCCTTCATCTTTCAAGAATTGCATTTCCACCCCCTCTACTTCTGTTTGTGTAACTAATAGCTAAACCCAATTCATCCATTTGAGTTACAAACTGCCCAAGATGAGCAAATTCAACAAATAGAAACTTACAAGAGGCTGTTTCTTTCACACTTTTGAGAAACTTTGCCACTTTCCCTTCAAACCCCACAAAAAAAATACATAGAAACAGAAGAAAAGAACCCCCCAAAACTTCTTACTAAAGAACCCTAAAAGATGGATCCAACAAGCAAAGATTAAAAAAAAAATTAGAAAATTATATAACAGAAGGAGATCCTGATCTGATCAGGGTCAAGGGCAATTTGGGTTTTTACCAGGGCCTCCATAGTAAAAGTAGTGCCCCCAATCACTATTGCTTCCAGTTTGAACATCATAACAATTGGATTGTTCAGTGAATGTGCCAAGATCTCTAGGAGCTTTCAGATTGTTTTCCTTGTCAACAACTTGAATGTTCCTGAAATAACTTGATTTCCCAAACCCTTCTTCTGGGAACCGTCCGCTACCCATTTGTGTGGACGTGTGGTGTCCATCGGGCTCGGAGTTCACCACCTCGCCGCCCCATTCGATCATCGAAGCACTGTCGGCCAAGTATGAGAACAAGAACGATGGCCAGTATCCCAACACATACCCGTTCCCGAATTGCATCCACCAATTCCCTTCCTTTTGGTCCTGGATGAAAAATCGCACACATATGAATCATAATAACCGATAAAGTACCCATCTTTACCCAAATAATACCAGTAACAAGAATCAAGATTACTAAACCCTACACAGGTTGGTGGCAAACTAAAAAATGCCAAAGATTCTAGCTTTTTTCTATGCATATATTCTCCAAATTTTAGAAACCACCACCCACCAAGAATAATTGAATATATCTACTTTATTTAATAAAGAAAAGATAATATAAAGGGTGTGCCACTTTTCTTGAAGAACGGCTTAAAAAGGTGCACTTGCAGAGCTTTGAATAATGAAACAAATCAACCCAACTTTGCTATCCCATTAGATGCTTATCTTAGTAAATTAGAAAATATTAATGCTAATTTAAGCCATAATTAATCTTAGTGAGTTGAATTAGGAACTCACCTTCCATACAAGAATACTGATGTCATATTGTGAATTCCTAAATGCAGAAACAGGGGATATGCTTGCACCCATGGCTATGTTATTGTTGATCTGAATAAAGCCTGAGCACAGTAAATTGTAACAACCAGTAGCTTGATATGCATCACTCTGCACCCAGAAAAGAAATAAAAGAAAGAGAAATTCCCATTAAAAATTGGTCAAAATAAGCCATTTTTAAAATAGAAATGAACAGATCCATGGCTTTATGACAAAAGGTACAAAGTCTCTGTAGAATTAATAGTTAATGCTCTAGATTTGGTACATTATTGCTAGAAAATGATTTACTCAAATAGTTACATAAGCATTCTAGCTGTACTTACAGTCCAATAAGTGAAGAGTCTAGTGTTGTTATCTCCATAAAGATCTGGACTGACCTGCAAACCATTAGACAATTTTTTAGAATCAGACTCAATAATGGAACCATACATTTATCTCAATTTAATATATGGGCTCCACATGATTGATTCAAGCCATCAACCAAAGAATAGAAAAAAATATCATGAATTTTATATGCTACTGCTTTATAATTTAGTTCTTTAAAATCATTTCTTCCCTTTTTGTTAGAATCATTTGACATCAAGAATTACGGACGGTGAGAATACCTGCCATCCTGCTTCGATGCTGTTAAGATCTTGGCCAAAAGAGCCACCTAGAATCCAAATCTGCGACAAGCTGAACTCGTTTGATAGCTGTATTTTCGGTTCCCAGACATTCATGGTTGCTTTTGCTCCATAGTATCGGTCACCCTCCACATAAGCTATTGCATGCTATATGTCGCAAAACACAGAAAGAATCATTAAATTGAGAAGGGTACCAAATAGTAGGAGAAAATAACAACAATCACAGGGGCATTTGAACACATAATTTGCGAAATTATGTTCTTAATGAATAAATTGAAAGGGGTAAACAAAAACTAAAAGAGTGCCAACAATCAAGACATCAAAAACCATGAAAAAGGTGCATTAGAACATGGGTATTTTCATTACCTCCTAATTTTGTCATAATGATGATAAATTATGAAATTATTGCTTTTTTATCCACCCAAGTGTGCTCAAAACCGTAGGTAATTATCAAAGTAGAAAAGGGATACCTAAATCTTGATTTTGCAACACTCAGGAACCTAAAAAGAAAGTGAATTAAGACATGGGGTCTTGATGAAAAAGCTCATTTACCCCTTTACTTTGTCATAAAGATGAGAAATTATGGTTTTTTCCTTATGTTTCTTCCACTATTTCACCTGATGTTTTCATTACCTCTTTATTTTGTCATAATGATGGCGAATTATGAAAGAAATATTTTCCTCCATTCATTTATGCCCAAAATCATATGTAATTATCAAACTAAAACAGGACACCTCTTATCTTCAAAATTGCAAGACTTAACTAAGAAAAACTGCATTTTAGAAATGGGTTTTCAAAGAAAAGCACATTTACCCCAATATTTTGTCATAAATAAGGGTAACTATGGGATTTTTTACTTTCACCATTTTTCTTCTTGCTCACCTGATGACCACTTTCATTGTCAAGATCAGGATCTGCAGACTTAGGGATGTTCCTAGGCACAGGGATGCTTTTATGCTTCTTCTTCCCATATCTTTTGACAGAGCTTGCTCTCAAAACATCATCTTCTTTTGTTCTCCTTATGGGTATAGTATCTTCAGGGCACATGCCATTCACGTGCCACAACTGGTGGATATTGTCTACTCTTTGTTTGGACTCTGTGTTCATCTTGTTCTCATCATAAAGCCCTTCTGGATGGTAGTTAGGCCTCGTCTAAAATCAACCCAAAAAACACAACCACCAACAAAGATCAGACTGTAAATTCAACAAAAAGGAGAAAAAAACAAGAATCGTTCAAGAAAATGTTGAAGGTGGTTACAGACCTGGATTTTATGGTCTTTGAGGAATGGGTGATCAAAAGCTGGCTGGTGAGAGATGTGTACACAATCAATGGTATCCCCATCTGGGCTCTGCTTAAATCATGCAAATAATCATAAATTTCATTGTTCATTAGCACTAATTTCACATTGGAGCTCTGAATTTACCTAATATACATCAAGAAAACCATCATTTTCAAAAAAAAAAAAAACCAAAATGAACACTTGTTATAGTTTTCTAGTAAAATAAGCAAAAGTGGAAAATATGGTGTTTTCTTCACACATAAAAATTGAACCTTTTTCTACATTTCGCAGCCAAGAATTAAAATCTTGATACACAAATTAACAAAAAATTTCCTTAAAAAAAAGAACCCAATTATTTGGATACCTGAATGGTTTTGACAGGGGGTTTATTGAGGCGTTTCAAGTGTTTATGAACTCGAAGCTTCTGCCGAGAAGCTGGTGGCTGCCTAGCGGCGCAAGATAGCGAGGCCAGATCCAGGAAGAAGAAGATGAACAGAAGAACTCCCCTAAACCCTATTCTCATCCTGCTCCTGTTACCGTGCGCAGCTGCCATTTTCAAAAGCTGAAAAAGACGAACTCCAAAAGCAAAAAACAGAAGGCTTTTTTTTTTCTCTCTTCCCAACCCCAACTACACTCTTCGACTATCCTTCGCCATGAGAGTTGAGCAGAACCCAGAAAAAGACCACACACTCAGTCACTCTGCTTATCCTACGCACCCCTGAAGCTACTAGACATTTGCCTTGGTAGTGACCCCTCTTTCTCTCTCTACTCTCACTTTCAAGATTCTTTCTAAATCGAATTTCTGGGTGGATTTCTACACTATAAACACAATGTGAGGGGTAAAAACCGATAAAAGAATAGGATGGGCGTGGGGTTGGGGTGGGGGTGGGGGTGGGGGTGAAACTTAAAACGGGTAAAATGATTCGAGTTATAAAAAGATATATTTGATTGAAATACGTATAAAGACGTATTCAGAAGTAGGCACTGTGATTATACATACAATATATATATATATATATATATATATATATATATATGGATGTGTGTGCAGATGATTGAGGCCATCAGCAGCACCCAATGCTTTTTGTCGTATTAAAACAAGTGGATTCACATGGTTTTAATTTTAACCCCTCCATGGACCATTTCAAACTCTCCTTTCTTTTTCACATTTGTACCAAGTTATATGAATGAACACAGAATTAACTCTCGTTTACCCAGTAAAGTGTTTATCAAGTCAATTTATTTTATCAGATGAATATGACAAATACTAAGAATCTTGTTCGATAAGAACGAAAGCAAGAATCGAGGGTCTTATCCGGTAAGTGAGGACAAAGACTATTACCATGGTTAGTGCTTACTGTGATAAATTGTTGCATACGATGCGTTTTAGTGAATAAAATCTTGTCCGGTAAGTTAGTGTTGAATTTTACTAATCAGTGCTTGTCAGGTAAGTGTAGATAAACGGCCCCTTAACCTAAACTTTTTTTAAATACTTGGATATTTTTCAGATAAATAAATTATTTATCTTCTCATTTTAAATTATTAAGTATTTTAATATTATTTTTAGTAAACAAACTACCGAACTTGTAAATATTTGCTATTTATGACTTAAAAAATTATTTGCAACACGATAATAAGGTTTTTTAGTAAAAATAAAATCTCTAAATCAATTTTACTGTTCTCAAATCCTTTGCACGCAACGACATCACTCCCCATCACCACCTCTCGCTCCAATCTTCGTATGTTCTCCATACCACATATCATAGTCGTCGGCCCTGCAATTTATTTCCCTATTTTTTATCGGTATTTTTTGTCTTTCGATTATGCCTTTTTTACAACAAATTAGTGGAGTATATATAGACATGTCAAAAAGAGGGAGATCGAACACAACAAAAAACCGACCACAGAGAGAAAGATCGGCCAACGACGATAATATAGAGCGGATGACGATGGGACAGTGAAATGGGAGCAATGTTGTTGGTTGCGAAGGTTGAAATGAAGTTGGATTAGAACGGTAAAACTGATTCAAAGATTATTATTTTTTTCTACTTTAAACCTTTTTTAATCAGATACAGTCTTACATTTTTAGGTTAAAAAAATACAAATAACCAACTTTTAAAAATTCGATGATTTATTTACTTAAAAAATTGTTTATGGATTTAATTATTCAAAATGAAAAGATTCAATAATTATTCACTAAAAAAATCATATACTTGATCGTATTTTAACTTGATTCTCATTTTGGGTAACTTACTTTCAAAATATTCATTTTCATAACTAAGATGTAAAGTTTTAAACATTTAAGTACTCAGGTAACTGGTTGAAGCATTAACTGTTTACCATACTGATGTGGCGAGTGATGTGATATTCAACTCAATATTATTTGCTGAAGCATTAACCGGATACCATATCATTCGCCACATCAGCATGGTAACCGGTTAATGTTTCAAACAGTTACCCGAGTACTTAAATATTTATTACTTTACAACTTATGTACCAAAGTAGAAGTTTTGAAAATACATTACCTAAAATAAAAATCAAATTAAAATACATTGTTTTTTCATATAATTTACCCTTTAAAATAAAAAAAACTGTTACAGTTTTAACTTTTATGAACTTTCTCCGGTCAATAAATATTATGATTCAAAATTAATATCACAAATATAAATAAATAATACTTGCCATTGTTTTGTAGTTCTCACATTAATGATGAAACAACCGGAAACAAAATGTTCATTGATAGCATCCTGTAAAATTTAATTTAATATCTTAAATAAATATTATTTAATTTAAAATTAACAGTCAGACAAACTATTCAGTATCTATAAAAAAAAACTTTAACTGATTATTAGGTGAGCTGTCTTAAATATTGTAAAACAGATAAAAAAATGAAAATTAATTAAAATAGTCATTTTGACCACATTATCTCATCTTTTAGCCGTTTCTCTCCCAAACAACGAAAATAGCTATAAGTTCGCAATTTGCAAAAGGGTCAAGGCGTAAGAAAAAATGAAGTTTCTGAACCACAGCGGCAATTGCGATGACCAAGTATGTAAATTTGGAAAAACACATCTACGGACATATTTTACAGACCTATAACTAATTTATATATTTGGTCTTTACAACTGCGGATCTGGTTTATAAGCTTCATTTTTTTACACTTTCATACCTCCGAAAATTACGGACCTGTCAATTACGAACTCATAACTGTTTTCTTTATTTTGGATGAGAAATGACTATTTTAATTAATTTCTCAATAAAAAAATATAATTATTTTAAACAATGATGGCAATTACCAAAAATACCCTCCAAAATGAACCACCCTTTTACAAAAAGAGTAAAGGAATTACCAAAAATGCCCTTGAGAATGATTTATATGGTCAAAGTAGAAAGTCAAAAACTGCATGGAGTGCAAAGGAATCCTATGAACAAAAATTGGTGATAAAACCTGACAGACATGAGGAACACAGAAGAACGTGGAGTCTCATCCACGATAATGTTCTTCCAATCTTATATTCTTATGACAAAGATTCTCTCTTTCTGGTCCTCCAACTTTTATATTATTTATATATTACCCCCCTCTTCTTTTTTAATCGTAATGTTTCCATATATAATATGTAAAGAAAACGCCACATAAGCATGATGGGCAGTGGCGAGATTAGGAATACTTGAGACTTTGTTGGTCAACATTGACAAGGACACAACTTTCGATAATATATAAAATTACCCCCTTCTTATTTAATTGGTTTCACATTGGTCCACCCACACACACACACACAAAAAAACTTGAAAAGTGGGTGAAATTTAGGAAGCAAAGATTTTATTAGCAAGTGTTTGATAAGTATATATAATTGGACTGGATATGGTTGGATTGTGAAGGTTACCTTTATAGCGTTTTGCTGTAAAATTTCAAGTGTAAAAAAAGTGGGCTCACGGGTCTCACGAAAATAGACTTGTCTCACGTGATCTCAAGTCATATATACAAAGTACCAAACATTTTGTGGATATGTTGGGAGTCTCATTATAAGTACTATGATTTAGGTAAATCCAAAAACCGATACTTATAGCAAGTGAGTATTTGTTTATTAGTTTTATTTATCAGCATTAACAAATTTACATACTGACAGTAAATTATTGGGAAGTTGTTTAGAAAAACCAGTGTGATTGTTAGTATATGTTATTAATAATACGTTGAATGTTTAGATGTCATTTGACTTGTTTCATGACAACAACCAATAAGGGAGACTTATAACTAGGTTGCAGTTTTGACTGTTATGGTAAGTGTTATGAGAAAACCAAAACAATATTTGACAAATCTTACCAGAACGTCAAACTAAAATCCAACAGTCCCAAATATTCAAATACATAATCATCCAAGTTGAAACAAAACGGAAACGGACGGTAATAGTCATCTGCTAAACTATTGATGGTTACAATGCTCGAGAAAATGAAGAACAAACTAAAATACATAGGGTTGCTGAGAGTATTTAGCGACTGAGGCGCAACATTAAAAAAACTACCATAATAACCCTAACAAGGATTAAAACCCATATGGAACCGAGTGCTACCTGATGTGACCTTCCCAAGGTCACTCTGGAGCTCAAACGCACGACCATGAGGCCAAGGGTCACGTCCTTGAGCAACCTCCGTAATTTTTTTCCGCAGTTTCTTATAACCTTGGGTGTATGTATCAGTTTACGCGTATCTCAACTAATTCGATGGGGTTCTGGAAATCAGCCAAAGAAATTCTTAGTAGTCTTGATGGACTCGAACTACGCCGCCCAAAAAAAAAGCACAACTGTTAAGGATATGTTCATACTTGTAGTTATCTCATATACGAAAACACATCTGCAGGGTTTGAATTATGATGTCCAATCAAGATAAGCAGTAATCATAGTACGACGTTGATTTTGATTTCTAAATATTTCAATTCACTATCATTAAAAACATTTTACACCAAATTAGTCATATTTTTTTTATTAAATATTTAAATATATATTTTTTAATTTAGAAAGACATATAAAACATTATTGAATGTTTTATTGCTTCTGATGTATAACTTAGTTGGCAGAGTCGATTGTATTCAAATACAAGACATTTCTCGGGTCTGATTCCGAAACTTCCGTTAGCCTCAGTCGTTAAATAAACCAATAAATACCCATTCGTATCGATGAGTCAGCGGTAATAAAATTTTTACCTAAATTATTGACCGTGTAACCCGAAAGGGGGAAATGCAAAAAGGAGGCTTTTGAACGACTACATTAAAGATGAAAGGAAGCTTTCGGTAATTCCGATGCTTCTCAACGGTCATTTGCACCATTTTAAGGCTGTTTTTTTTTTTTTTTTTTTTTAAATTTCTTATTTAATATATCTACCTTTTTCATCAAATTACTTTGTAAGTTGTTGTTGGAGTATCAAATTTTTATTGTTATTTCAACATTTCTTTTATAACGTGACAAAGATATAAGTTTGATATCTGGATTGGTAAGATTGTTTGTTTTTTAAGTCTAAAGTCTGAAATCTGAATCGATTAAATTAAAGATAAAATTATAAAAGATAAATAAATAATTTTTGCTAACAAATCTCTTTCAGCCTCCAAAATATGAACCATGTGACAGATGACAAATTAGAATTAAGGGGTATTAATGGATACATTTACCACTTAAAATTTTAGATAACATTTAGAGCTTTTAAAATCTTATTTTAAAAATATAACAAACGTTTTTAATACCGAAAGGTTTGAATAAATCAGACATCAAAAAGAGCAAAATGCACAAAATAG